GACGTGATCCAGCCTCTGGCCACAGTCAGTTCTTGTTTAACAGATGAGGATTCTTTCCTCTCTGGGTCCTCAGACTGGAAGGCAGGAAGACAGGAAGAAAACTGCCCTTTTTTGAGGGCCTACTATGAGTCAGGTGCAGGGCATGCCTAGGGCTTTCACGTTTCCAGTTCTACCTCCCAACTGCCCTATGAGATGGGTCTCCTCAGATCCATTTCGTGGATGAGGAAACAGAGGCTCAGAAGTCTAAAATAGTGCTTCTTTTGCTGTCTCCTCTCCTCCCCCAAATGAGATCCTGTCTGTCTTTCTCCAGGACTTCCTGCTCAGAGCCCCACCCTAATCACTTGTGGACTTGTACCTTGCCCAGGGAGGGACAGCCTTGCCTTTGTTGCCCTCCCCTCCATATCACTTTCCTAGTTTGTTGTCCACTTCCTGCCTGGCTCTGTTGTTAGCTTGTAACACCCATCACCTCTCCCCCACTGCACCCATCCCCAGTCAGTCCCAGTTCTTTAGCATGGGGATTTGTTTGCAGTGTCTGCAGCGCCCACCACAAACTGTGGGCAGGAAACCTCCAAGCTCAACCCTAGTTGCTGTGTGACCTTAAGCAAGTCACTGCATCTTGCTGGGCCTCCCTGTCTATAAAACAGCAGGTTTGGTCCAGATGTTCTAAGAAGGCCCTTTTGAGGCTGATTCTAAAAGACAGTACTTTTAAAAGACAGTTATCTTTGCAGAGAAAGCCAAGTGACATTTATGTATATATGTATGTATGTATGTTTAATCTGATGTATGGCCAAACACTCTTTGAGTGGGAGTGTACTGTTGGGAGTTTCTCCTCATTTGTCTTGCACAAACCACTCCCATAAGGCAGGCATTTATTTTTAAGCAAACATTTATTGCATGCCAGATGCTGTTCATACATTATCTCATTTAACCCACTCAATGGCCATGTGGCTCAGGCATTTATGATAGCAATACTAGTTCATGTTTGCTGAATACTTACAACGTGCCAAGCACTGAGCCGGCTGTTTTATGTGGGTCTTCTCACCTCATCATCACAACCACTCTCGAAAAAACCATTCTTACCCCTACTTTACAGATGAAGAAATAGAGGTGCAGACAGGTTGAGGTCATAAAACCAGTGAGCAGTGGAGTGGGGATTTCAGACACCAGCAGGTTAACCCCAGAGCTGCTGTGCTTAACTGTGACATTCTCCTGCCTCCTATAGTTTATTGTTCTCATTTTCCCAGTAGAGAAACTGAGGCCACAGAACCAAAGTGCTTTTGCTCAGAGTCAGCAGCCGAGATGCAGCAGAGGCCCCTTCGCCCAACTGCTGAGTGTAGGCCTTGTCCAGCTCGTGATATGGGTTGGCAGATCTGTTGAGTCCTAGGGGTGCCAGCTGGAGGGGATGTGAAGCCTAGTCACCAGAGCCCATTCTTCTTAACCAAGTTCCTCCTGCTACCCCCACCTGGGGGTCTCCGGTGCCATCCTCAGCTACATTGTGCAGGACCTGATGGAGACAGACCTGTACAAGTTGCTCAAAAGCCAGCAGCTGAGCAACGACCATGTCTGCTACTTCCTCTACCAGATCCTGCGGGGCCTCAAGTATATTCACTCAGCCAACGTACTCCACCGGGATTTAAAGCCCTCCAACCTGCTCATCAACACCACCTGCGACCTTAAGGTCAGAGGATTGGTTGCCTCTTCCCTCCTCCCTTGGGGCCTGGGGCTTCCAGGTGACCGGTAGTCCCCCGGAGTATGAGAGTATCACAAGCAAAGGGAACAGCATGGGCGGAGGCGTGGCATTATGATTGTTTGGGCCGTGGAGGCTTTGACCACCAAGCTTAGCAGCCTGGGTTGGATTCCAGATCTGCGATTTTGGCCTGGCCCGGATCGCCGATCCTGAGCATGACCACACTGGATTCCTGACAGAATACGTGGCCACACGCTGGTACCGGGCCCCAGAGATCATGCTTAACTCCAAGGTAGGGGGCCATCCACCCCCAAAAGGAAAGTGGGTCCCAGAAAGGCCTGGAGCCACCTCTGAGCTAGGCACTGACCCCCATGGTATATGAAGTCTACCCCTTAGGCCATGTCACATGACTATGGTCCTTGGGATTTGGAAAGAAGCTAAGCATTAGCTCTTCTAGGCCTCTGCTCATTGTTTGAAGCTAGGTTGGGGTAGCGGCTTGGCCTAGACAACAGTGCCCCGTTGAGGCTGGCCCCGGAGCCCACCACTTTGTCCTCTTCCCCAGGGCTACACCAAGTCCATCGACATCTGGTCTGTAGGCTGCATTCTGGCTGAGATGCTCTCCAACCGGCCCATCTTCCCTGGCAAGCACTACCTGGACCAGCTCAACCATATTCTGGGTGAGGGGGCCTGGCCAGCTGAGTGGAAGGGAGATTAGCTTATTGGAGGTGAGATTTCTTTAGAGTCTGGTCAGTGAGTCTGCAGGAGTACTGCCACGAGTGGAGTCCCTACAGCATCTCACAGTATTTCAATGAGGTATAGATACTATCCACAGTTGATAGGTGGGAAAAGCAAGGCTACACGCCCCACACCTAGGAAGGGCTGGAGCTGGGATACACCCTTAGGCTGCCTGAATCCAGACCTCTTGTTTCACCACTATAGTACTGGATGAGAGATAATTGTCAGGGCCTGGAGTGGGTTGCTGGGGCTCTTGTTCTTGGCTCCTTCTGTTCCCAAAAGGAAGAAAAGATCTTTCACCAAGTCACCTGCCCTATCCACAGGTATCCTGGGCTCCCCATCTCAGGAGGACCTGAATTGTATCATCAACATGAAGGCCCGAAACTACCTACAGTCTCTGCCCTCCAAGACCAAGGTGGCCTGGGCCAAGCTTTTTCCCAAGTCAGACTCCAAAGGTGAGAGACATGGAGGCTGATGTGGGGTAAAAATGGTGCAGAGAGGTTACATGGGTCCAGCAGCTGCCTGAATAGACAGGCCCCCTGGGAATAGAGAAGCAAAGCCATACTTCTGGGAACTCCCCACAGCCTTCCTTTTGACCCCCAGTTCCTGCCCTTCCCTAGCCCTTGATCTGCTGGACCGGATGTTGACCTTTAACCCCAATAAACGGATCACAGTGGAAGAAGCCTTGGCTCACCCCTACTTGGAGCAGTACTATGACCCAACAGATGAGGTGGGCCAGCCACCAGCAGCCGGACTGGAGGGTAAGTGGGTGGGTAGGCATCCTTCAGTACCTGGCCTGAGCCTTACTTCTTTGCCACCCCAGCCGGTGGCTGAGGAACCTTTCACCTTCGACATGGAGCTCGATGATCTACCCAAGGAGCGGCTGAAGGAGCTCATATTCCAGGAGACAGCCCGCTTCCAGCCTGGGGTGCTGGAGGCCCACTAATGTGGACAGATGCCTCTGCTCCCTGGGGCCTGGTGAGTGCTCCCCAGCATCCATGCACAGATTCACCCTGAGATCAGGGTACCCAATACACCATACAGTCAAAAGCTTGCCTACGCCCATGTGTATAATCCATGTGTATACAGCAGAAAGGCCAGAGCCTGCCCATAGACCTGTGGTCCACCAGTCTTCATGTCCCTCCTCCTTTCCCCCAGCCCCAACTATCTCCCACCTGTCAGCAGCCTGCAATAGCCCCAGTAGCTGTTCTAGGCCTTCAGAGGTCATTGAGGGCCCATCTCACCCATCTGAGGAACGGAGCCAAGTTTTGCCTCTCCCAGTATGGGCAGAGAGGCAGGAGGGATAGTAATCGCTTTGGGTCAGCAGCAGTCTGACCCAGATGCCAAGCTTTTTCACACCTGGTGCCCGGGTCGGTAGTTCATACACCTGTGGGGCTTTCCCCAACCCACACTGCTCTTCTTCTTACCCCAGTCTCCTTTCTGACTTTCTGCCAGCTGCACCCTGACAGAAGGAGGACAGACACACCTGGGTTCAAACCCCAGCTCTGACACTTATCAAAGCAGTGTGACACTGTGTACAACACCTCACCTCTATGCCTTGGTTTCCTGAGGACAGTCCTGATAATGAGAGTAAACACTTACAGAGCCCTAAGCATTGTTCTAAGAGGTTTATGAGTATGAACTCATTTAATCCTTATAGTAGTCCCATGAGATAGGTACTAATGTTATTCCCATTTACAGAAAAGGAAACTGAGACACATCCCATTCAACTGTGAGGATGAAATGAGAGAAGTTGAGGTCCGGGCTCTGTCCTGCGACTCTCAGGGGTGCTAATGATTCCTTTCCTGCCTGCCTTTTTATTTAGGCCCTGCCTCCTGCCTGCCCCTCCTCTGCCGGACTGTTAGAAAATGGACACTGTGCCCACCCCAGACTCCAGCAGCCCAGGTTGGGGCAGAGGATGGGCCTGGCCACCTTCTCTTGCTTTGCTCAGGCACCCTGCTTTAGGCAGGCCAAGGCTCCCTTCGTCCTGCCCTCCCCCCATTCCCAGGACCGGAGGGGCTCAGGTGGCCCCAAGAGCAGTTTCCCCTCCGCTGCTCTGCCGTCCTGTACCCCAGCTATCCCAGTCTCTGGCAGTTCTGGAATCAAAGGGCTTTTGCTGCCCCGTGACCTACTGAGGGGTGGTGGGAGATGGGAGACACTGACTAGGGACTCAGAGCCAGCCCTGCCCCACTCACCTCCCTAAAACCCCACCCATCTCCCTGAAGAAACATTCCTAAGGCTCAAGGGCTAGTATTCCTGAGGAGTAGGGCCCAGGCCTAAACCCTCCCCCATCCCCACGCCCACCCCAAGCTGCCACATCTGGTGCCCCTGCTACTTCTGTGTGTGGGTGAACAGATGTGGAGGTAGGGGGCATGTGGAGAGCCCAGTGCCCCTGCCTACCCCCTGCCTGTATCTAATATATAAATATAGAGATGTGTATATGATGCCCTGGCTCTGTCTTTGTTCGCTGATGCTGCGTCCCTAACCATTGCTGCTCTGAGGACTGACCTCCAGCCCAGCCACTTCCCAGTTGTGGCTTTACCTGGCCCTAGTGACTTTTGACTCCCCTCTGGCCAGGGCTGAGTATGAGAGTGTAAGGAGCTCCAGGTTCCTGGACAGAGTGGGGTCAATTCTCCCTAGAGTCACTGTTCTCTACCCTCTCTATTGGCTTCCTGTCTAACTGGCTCGGGTGATTCCGGGGTGACTCAGGGGTACCCTACACACCCCAGATTCTCCGGAAATAGTAAGGAGCAGTGTGTTACATCCCTTGGCCACACACACCAGTGGGAAGGGGGAAGGCTGTAGCAACCTGGTGGTGGAGGACTTGACTTGCCCTGTGTGCCCGAGGAGAGAGGGGTACTGGGGTCTACGACGGGCCTGGGAGTGTGAGAGCCAGAGCCGCCTGGCCTTTCCTTCTGCCTCCATCCCCAGCTGAGCCCTGCAGCCTGGCTTCCAGCCAGCAGCAGGCTCAGCAGGTCCCAGGGGCGTGGTGGCGGCCAGTGGTGGAACCAGCCTACATCAGACTGGCCAGGCAGTCGGCAAGACAGCACAATTTATCAGGGACAGCTGAGCTCACAGCATTTGGAGCCCGGAGAGGCAGTACGGCCATGAGCCCTCTGCTCTACTACGCTCTGCCCACTCTGGGTAGCTATGTCCTGCTCTCCATCTTCTTACTGCGCCGGCCTCGCCTGCTGCACACGCCCTGGGTTCCAGCTTTCTGTCCCCGCCTGGGGGCCCACCGGGGAGGTGAGCCGGAGGGGGGGGGCGTGGCAGCTATTGAGGGTGGAGTGAGGATAGCCAGACAGGTGCCAGGGTGGACAGCAGAGGAGTAGGTACAAGGAGCTGGATGTGAGAGGGCAGAAACCAAGGTAGGAGAGCAGGGTAGTGGCGCAGGATGTGGAATGGGGAAGAAGAGGCTATTCAACCTGGGCTGACGGGAGTGATGAGGCAGTGGGGAAGGGAGAAGGAGGGACCCACTCTGGTACCCCACACAGGATCTGGAGAGAAGCTGGAGAACACCATGGAGGCCATGGAGAAGTGAGTACACCTACCTGGCCCAGTTGCTGGGTAAGGTCGTGCCGGCCGTGTGCTGCATGATGCCAAGGGGTGCCATTTACTTCCTAGCCTGGGTGACAGGAGCCTCCCGGAGGTGTGCAGTGCACAGCCTGTACATTCCACCTTAAACTCCACCCACGCTCCCCTGAACTGTCCCACCAGCCTGCGGTCTGGCCCATCCCTATGTCCCACACCCCACTGATCTTTGCTCCCATAGCTCCATGGCTCAGCGAGCCGACCTCCTGGAGCTGGACTGCCAGCTGACGCGGGATGGTGTAGTGGTGGTGTCCCACGACGAGAACCTGTTGCGCCAGTCAGGCGTGAATAGGGATGTGGGCAGCCTGGACTTTGAGGTGGGTCTTGCGCCAGCTCCCCATCATACCCAGAGAGCCTCCACACATGCCTCCTGGTGACATGCTTTTGCTCTCCCAAGGAGCTGCCCCTCTACAAGGAGGAGCTGGAGGTTTACTTCTCACCTGGTAAGAGCATTGACTATGACTCTGGGCTGGTCCAGCCCATGTAGGGTGATAGCCTCAATGTCTGCTCTCCTCCTCTGGAACTTGCCCCTTATCCCATGGGTTCTTACCCCCACCCCACCAATCCTCCTCTGATCTCTCTTCCCACAACTTCCCCCAGGCCACTTTGCACATGGGTCAGACCAGCACATGGTGCGTCTAGAGGACTTGTTCCAGAGGTTCCCTCGGATGCCCATGAGTGTGGAGATCAAAGGGGAAAACGAGCAACTCATTCATAAGGTAGTGCTACAGGCTAGGTTGGGGGGCCAGGGCTGGAGAAGGTCTGACTCCCCATCACCTCCATCCCCTCCCAGATAGCCAGCCTGGTGAGGAGCTTTGACCGCAGTGAAATCACCATCTGGGCCTCAGAGAAGAGCTCAGTCATGAAGAAGTGCAGGGCTGCCGTGAGTCTTTTTCCTTCCTTGCTCCAGCGGCCCTTCCTCCCAGGAGCTGGAGTCCAGCCCAGCCTGAGGGGCCTAGGCTAGAAGAGCCTGGGGGGGTTCTGGAGGATTTTGAGAGGTGAGGTGATGGAGAAAGTATGTGAGCAAAGGCATGCTGGTGGGAGCAGGGAAGGTGCATTTAGGTCTTGAATGCTGGGCCAAGATGCTGCTTTGATCCTACAGGTAGTAGGGCTTTCTGAATGTCCAGAACTGTTTCCCCTGCAGCCCAGGCCTCTACTCTGCTTTCCCAGGAGCAGACTGATCCCTCTCTCACCTCCCCTTGCTTCCCAGAACCCCGAGATGCCATTCTGCTTCACAATAAGCCGAGGATTCTGGTTGTTACTGCTCTATTACGTGGGACTGCTGCCCTTCATCCCAATTCCCGAGAAGTTCTTCATGTGCTTCCTGCCCACTATCATCAACAGGTACCCACAGGGTCCCCAACACCCTTCTTCATCCTCCCCAGGCCCCCAGCTGCTTCTGTCCTCAGAAAAATACTTCCCCCATCTCAAGCCCCATTGCATAGGGCCCCAAGCCCCCCAGATGCCCTCAGGATAACCCCCAGGGTGCTTTGAAGACAGTGGTTCTCATCCAGCATTCATGAATACTAAGGAGTCCAAAAACCCCCTGAAATTCTATGCAGATGTTTGTTGATGTGGATGGAGTTTTAGGACAAAGTGTTCATTTATTCATTCATCCAACAAATATTTATTGAATGCCTACTCTGTTCCAGGTGCAGTTACACTAATACATAAGACCAATATGGGTGGGGTAAGGCCCTCAGTGAGTTTACAATCTTGCTAGGAAGACAGATGTAAATTATAGCATTACTCTCTGATTCTCAAAAGGAAAAGCAAGTGTTTTCCCAGTGGGAGACATGGATTAACAAAGTAACAGCTGGACAAAGTATCAGGAATTTGGATACTTCACCAGCTCTCAGGCTTGGCCCCTCCCTTCACTTTTGGGAACTTCTCTGTGGCAGCCCCAGTGCTTTCTGCTCCCCTCTGTTGTCCTGAGGGAAGCTCCCAGCCAGCCCCACAATCCCTGCTACAAAGACTCATGCTACAACTTTGTGTACATAACTTTTTATACAGGATTTACAGAGTGTTTTCATGTCCTAAAGGATGTTTAGTTGAGCTTTACCTTGTAGCACCCCCAGAAGGTACAAAAATCATGACTCAGTAGTACCTACGGAGAACCTGAGGCTCAGAGAGGTTCTATAATTTTCTCAAGGCCACACAGCTGAAAGTACAGAGCCCAGTTTGCCCTGGGTCTGACTCTAAAGCCTGCCATGGGACATTGTGAAGCCTCTAGAGTCACCCCTGGGGTGGGACAATTAGGGGCAAGTAGCCAACCCACTAAATGCAGTCTGGTCTCAGGAAGCTAGTCAGGCCCAACCACTAGGACCTCCTCCAGACTGCATGTCCAGTTTGGAAATCAAGCTGGGTTCTGGTCCTGGCCCCACTACAGACTTGCTGTGTCACCTCAGGCAAGTCCCTTTTGCTCTCCAAGATTTAGTTTCTTTTCCTATAAAATGGTGAAGCAAGTGCACACCCTCAAAGCGTGGAGTCAAGGATATAGGATTAGGATCTCACTGAACAATGGGTGAATTGTTCAGCTAGCCAACTGCAAAGGTTCTTCTAGAGGGGGCGGGTTTCACTGGTCAGGGGTCACTGCCACCCAACTACCCACCCTTGTGACAGAGAGAGACCCATGGGCTGACCACGACACCACCTCTCTGCAGGACCTACTTCCCATTCTCCTACTCTGGCCTGAACCAGCTGTGTGCTGTGGTTTCTAAATGGTGAGATGGGAGATAAGGCTGGGTGGAGTGTCTCCTTAGAGATCTGCCTCTGCCCTTCTTCTTAGTTCCTCTCATCATGGCCTTTGCCATCCCCCCCCCCCCCACCAGGCTCATCATGAGGAAAAGTCTGATCCAACACCTGGAGCAGCGAGGGGTGCAGGTGAGCCTCGACCACCACCCCCTCAGCAAGGGGATGGTTCACAGCGTGGGCCTAGCACTGCGTTCCAATCACAGCTCTGCTACTGACTAGCTGGGTCCTTTGGGCAGGTCACCTTCTGAGTCTTGGTTTCTTCATCTGTTAAATGGGGATAATGCTGTAGGTAACTCTTCTGGATATGTAACTGGTAGTTAGTAAGGGCTTTATAAATGCTAGCCATTGTGATGTATTAAACTGTCCTGATCCCTGATGAGGGGGGCTGGGCAAAGACCAGCCTAGCCCAGCTCCTCCCACTCCCCTGAGCATCAGCTTTGACCAGGTCATGTAATTAGCAAACCTTCGTTAAGAATAAGTTCCAGACACTATTGTACTGGGGATGAAGCAGGGAGCTTACCATCAAGGGCAGAGGAAGGAAATGAAACAGGCCATTGCAGGGGCAACCAGTAGGCAGTAAGGAAACAGTGTAGTGGTCTGTGGGGGTCAGAGAAGGCCTTCTGGAAGAAGTGAGGGGCTGGCTCAATGGGAGGGGAAAGGGAAGGCATCTCAGGCAGGAGGCTCAGCATGTAGGAAGGCCCAGAGGAGCAAGAGGCCTTGGCAGTCTGAGGAACTGAGAGGGCTTCTACCAGGCTGCAGTCTGGAGGAAGCAGCACAAGGGAGCTGGAGAAGGCAGCAGAGGCTGAGGCAGGCAGTGTGTGGAACTCAGTAAGAAACCTGGACTTCGGCCCAGGATGGGAAGCTTTTGAGGGGCCCTAAGCAGGAGAGAGACTTGATCCAAGGTTTGTTGAGTGAGGTTCTCCATGTGGAGAAGAAATTGTGGGGGCCATTGTAGAAGCAGAAAGTCTTATGAGGAGTCTGTTGCCGCCACTGACAGAACTTGGGCTCTTGGGCTCCAGTGGCAGCAGTGGGGATGGATGGAAGGGTCAACAAAGCCACTGATTGAATGTAGGAGTGAGTGAGGCATGGGGATGATGTGGCTCTTACAGATCAGCGCCTTGCCCAGGATACAAATACTATCTCTACCTACATCAGTGCCACAGGAAAGGACTCAGGAGGCAGGGAAGATGCAGAGTAGCAGTCCATAACTGGCTCTTCAGCGGGGGGGAAGCACTCTAATTTGAGCATTAGATCATTTTTCTGGTGTATATACTCCCACCTTGGCCAATTTCAGGCTACCAACATGAAGTCACTGAACATAGAGTTGGGAAGAGATGTGAGGTAGCACATCGTTATAGAGTATTTCCACTGTACACATTCAACAGACTGTGTACAGTGGAAATAATCTCCAGAGCATAGGTAATAGTAAAATGTAGTAAAATTATTAGGAAGTGGTGAGTTTTTAGTATTTATTACTTTGGTTTTTAATATAGTTTACTGAATTGCAAGTTTATATAATTTAATATTTAATAATGGCTTTGTTTAAAACCAGTTTGTGAAATTCCTGAAAACCTAACAATCAGCTCCCCAGCATACCACCACTCCACAGAGGGGGAGAGCCCCGACCATCTGGTTGCAAGGGGGGGGCGGGTTCCAGGTAAAGTTGTTTGGAAACTACAAGCCCCTCCCTCCCCACCCAGGTGATATTTTGGTGCCTTAATGAAGAGTCGGATTTTGAAGTGGCCTACAGCCTAGGGGCCACTGGTGTCATCACTGATTACCCCACAGCTCTGCGGCACTACCTGGACAACCATAGAGCAGCTGCGTAGGCCTTCTGGGCCAGAGGCCCTTGCCTTCTCTCTGTTCCTTCCCTAATAAATATTTTCTTTTCAGTCATGCCTTTGTGTATGGGGAGAAGGATGGTTGGGGATCCTAGAAAACTGCAAAAATGGCAGCTTAGGACAAAAGAGGCCATCCTAAGGCCAACCAGCCTGACCCACTGGTTCCGTCACATTCCAGATGTAGAATAATGCCACACCCTGTGCCAGCCTGGCTTCCGCTCTCCTCAGGAATGTCCCTTTAGAGCCACAGATAAGGGTTCCATTCTCCTGAGACCATTAAGAACACCAGGCACAGGGCAAAGGACTTGACTTGTCCCTGAGAGCCTCCTCGCCTGGCTGCCGAGGGTGGGAATGACTGAGACAGCTGAGTTCATAGCACTTCCATCTGCTACCTCAGCCATTCAACCCTCCACTCCCAAGTTTCCTACTCCAGAAGCTTCCCGAATTCTTCGGCCCTCTTTAGCCGCAGTACCTTATTCATTTAATGAAGCACATATTTCACAAACATGTATTGACTAGGCTAGGCTGGGTACTGGAGCTACTGCAGGAAACAAGCCAAGTTTAGTATGGCAGACACATGTTTAAACAGACGTTGGGATGTGAGAAAAGGGAAGGGGGAAGCCCTCAGCAGACACCAACTCAGCCTGGAGGGGCGGGGCACCAGAGGAGGGTGCCACCTGGAGAAGGCGATGCTCCACAGGAATTGGCTTGTTCCTAGCTCTGGCTCCCAGGGGTCTAACACAGACACCTTTAGCTGTTCCATTCCAAGAATCTGTCCTTGGTGCTATGGCAAGGACTGTGGAATCAGACCAAAGCGAGAACCCCAGCTTAGCCTCTTACCACCTGGATAACCTCAGGAGAGATGCTAGATTTCTTTGAAGCTAGTTTCCTGGTAAAGTGGGAACAATAGCAGAAGCTGCCTCATAGGATTGCTGCGGGGATTAAGAGAGTGGGGCACGGTGGTGGGTAAACGCTGATAATTATGACCATTATGTCCCAGAGGCGTGCATCCAGACACTGTCCGCCTCCTAACCCACACCAGGTCAGGTACCTCAGGTTCTTGCTCCTTCAAGGACCGCGGAAGGCCAGAGGGGCAGCTGGCTGGGTCGCGAGCTGCAGCCGCATTTCCGGGTAGGCGGGAGCTGGGAGCAGGGGGAAGGGTAGCCCAGGATTGCGCTGGCCGCTGTGTGACGCGCCCCCTCATTTGCATGACGTGCGCCTATTGGCCACCGCGACCGCCGGGACCAAGGGCCGGCCCCCTCCCCCTCCCGCCGCAGCGGCGGCAGCAGCTGGTCTTAATCCTTCTGGGAATAAGTCTTTGTTAAGGTCAAGGTGTTCCTTCTCTCTATCACCTTCCTCCTACTTTACAGAATAATTCTAAATGACTGTGTAGAATCAATACTCTTGAATCAGTTTCTTTTCTTTTTTGCTTTCGATAACGTTGAAGAAGGAACTAATCAAGCTGCCAGCTATCTGATCACTAGAAGTCATGACTGGTGAGAGACCAGTGTGTCATTTTTGGCACATGACTCAGAACGAACTCAAAGAATCAAATGACAAGACTCCTCGCCTGTTTGGTAATTTGTGAGGACGTAGTGACAGCACCTGTATCTATAGCAACGATGCTGACCTTTGACTCATTCAGGCAGCAAGAAGTGCTCCTTCACTTCCCCCGGCGCCCGCCCCCCAACCCTACACCCCAGGTGAGTCCCGGGGTCTCAGGTAAGGCTCCGCGATGCAGGTAAGACTCCCTCGGCATAGACAAGGCCTCAACGTCCCCAGGTAAGAGCCCCTCCCCTCCTAGGTGACCCTCCATCTTCAGCGAGGCCCCCAGCCTTCTCCAGGTGAGGGACCCTTGCCCCAGGTGAACTCCCTGTACCTTAAAGTAAGTCGCCCCTAACCCTCCCCCCGCGGCTCAGATCCTAAAGACCGTCCAATTCCTAACCCCACCATGCAGCCGCTAAACAGAGCACTGACAGATCATCTACTCTAAAGCCCCTTCCTCCAGCTTCAATTGCCAGCTCAGCAGGGGTGTGGCCAGAAGCAAGTGGGTGACTCATCTTGGGCTCCTCCTAGCCTCAGTTTCCCCACTGGTACAACTTGAGGCCTCTTCAGTGAGTCAAAACTGAGATGGCTCTGGCCCCTGGAGAGGCTGCTGGCTCTGGGGAGAGGAGACGGCAGCCAAGTGTGACAGAGAGAGTCCCCATGGCTCTGGGTGTGCCTGCATGTCCTGACAGTCCACTCGCTCCCTTTCCGGCAGGCACTGGGCTCCCTCTGCTCCCCGTGGGCTGCTCCCCGTGTGGGGCCATTGCCCCCGGCCCCCGCCATGGTGCGGATTTCAAAGCCCAAGACGTTTCAGGCCTACCTGGATGATTGTCACCGGAGGTATAGCTGTGCCCACTGCCGCGCTCACCTGGCCAACCACGACGACCTCATCTCCAAGGTAACCAGGTCACAGCTGGGACTGGAATAGGAGGCTAGAGGGGCTGCTTAGCAGCCCTGACCCCCTCCTCTCTCTCTCCCACTGTTCAGTCTTTCCAGGGCAGTCAGGGGCGTGCCTACCTCTTCAATTCTGTGTGAGTATTCAGCCTCCCTTCTTTCTTTCCCCAACCTCTATTTTGACCTGTGGTACCCCTGGCATCATGCTGAGACTCCAAGAGTCCCCTGGTTCAAGCAGGTTATGATCACCCTTCTCTTAGATGCTAAGGACAGACACAGTTGGATAGACGGGGCCTTTGTGATGGTGGGACCCTCCCCGGGACTGTCCTCATATCCCTACAGGGTGAACGTTGGCTGTGGGCCAGCCGAGGAGCGGGTGCTGCTGACGGGCCTTCATGCTGTTGCTGACATCCACTGCGAGAACTGCAAGACCACTTTGGGCTGGAAATATGTGAGTCAGTGACCTCTGACCCCAGGCTAGCCTTTGACCTGACCTCACATAGCAAGCAGCCATCTGGCAATCTTCCAGCATACATAGGTCCAGCTCACACAAGTTAAACTAACTGTCTTTTCATCCCCTGACCATGTTTTCTTCTCTCACATCCCACTAGGGCTTTTAGAATTTTTCTCTTAACCCATCCCTCTCCTCACAGGCACAAGCATCCCCATTTTAGATATAAGTATATAATCAGAATTACCATTTATGAATGCTGTTGCCATGTACTGTTATGTGCTTGGCATATATTATCTCATTTAATCATTACGACAATCCTGTAGGTAGAGTCTGCTATTATCTCCACTTTACAGAAGAAAGGAAGGCCCAGAGATGTTAGGTAACTCGCCCAAGGTCACACACACGAGTAAATAACAAAATAGGGACCAGAATCCTACATTTGTTTTGTTTTTTAACTCCAAACCCTTAACCCCAGCTTCTGTTGCCATTCAGAGGATCAGAGAAGTTGCCCAAGACCCCGTAGCAACATGGAGTTTAGGTCCATGAGCCTCCTTTTCCAAGGTCCTTGTTGCCAGTGCTGCTGTCCAGCGTCTGATTTCACTACCTGAGTCGAATTTCCTTATCCGGCAGTGGAGAATAAAGCCACCACCCAGCACCCAAGATTGTTATGGGGATCAGAATAGATGCAGCAAAAAAAAAAAAAAAGATGCTCTTGGGAAACTGCAGCCTTTTGGAGCTGTGGTACCTCTGCTATGTGGCTGCCACAGGCAGAAACAGGCAGTCAGCCTTTACCTTGAGTTCATCCCTAGCCCTACCACAGATTTGCTTTGTGTCCTTGGACGGGTGGCTTGGCCTCTCTGGACCTCTGTGAAATAAAGAGGTGGCCTAATGTAGAGGTCAAAAACAAATGCTTGCAGGGCCAAGCAGATACTGTGGGTCTGCAAAAGGGGAGACATTCATGGGGGAGGAGCATTCTGTGACAAACCAGAGTGCACATGGCCTGTCTATATTTTAGTATTTCAAAGTTATTTTTATTAAACTCTGTTGGCCAGACAAAACACACGTGTAGGCCAAAACTGGCCCTCAGGCTACCAATTTGTAATTCCTGAATCTTGTAGAAACTTCCATGTTCTCATTGTTGGAGCCAACAATAGTACTTTAAAAGTGAATTCTTTCGTGAGAAATTCGGCCCACCCTCTTAGCTCTGTGTCTGTGGGCAGGTGGCTTGGTTTCTCTGGGTGACAGTTTTCTCACATGTGAAATGCAGCCAATCATATCCATGCCCCAGCCCCTATCCCTGTTAAGGCCCTTGCTCCAGGGATGTCAGCCTCTTCCCTCCTTTCAGGAACAGGCCTTCGAGAGCAGCCAGAAGTACAAAGAGGGGAAGTACATCATTGAACTTAACCACATGATCAAAGACAACGGCTGGGACTGACCCGCGCTCTTGCCGCATGTGGCTCCAGCCCGGCCTGGCCGCCAGGGGGCGCCACTGGCTTTCGAAGGGCGAAATCCGCTGGAAGGGAGCTCTGGACCCAGACCCCCTGCAGAGGAAGGATCCAGCTCCTGTACATATATTTTATTGCATGCACTGTGACCTTGGGGGAAAATCAGAAGGTGGACAACACCCCCGCACCGCCCTGCGATCTGGCTGGCTTGGATCTCGTTTTTTAACCTATTCCTGCCCCGCCTATCCTATAGATATGACCCGTGTGCTGCTCTCTTAGCCCCAGTGCACCATCTGCCCTGTGAACGCCTTCCACCGGGCCACTCTCACCGCACTCGTGTCTGCTCCCCTTGTTCTGTAGCGTTTGTACATAATAAAGCGATGGAGTGGAGACAGCCCCAGGCTCATGTGGAATCGGGAAGTGGGGGCCCAAATGCATATTCCTGCCTCTGTAGACCTGTTATCTTCTGAGCCCCAGTGGGGCAGGTGGGAGGGAGCCTGCACTCCTGGGCCTGGCTTCAGCCATCTTCTCTAGGGTCCAGGACAGGTCTCACTGCCCCATGATTGCCCAGCCCACTCTGGGTCCCTGGGCCATGACCTCGGCGGATCTGTATCTTCTCAGCCTTAGCATTTTGCTACAGCCCGGGGGCAGCTCTCCTGGGAGGCAACCGGTTTGCTGCCCTCCTTCCGACTACAACTTCCAGCAGTCCCAGCGGCATCTGTCTCTGCGCCAAAGTGGACGCTGGGCCTGCTGGGAAGTGTAGTTCCAAGGGTTCTCCAGCACGGGACCTTCTGGGAAACCCAGGTTGCCCTCCAGTCAGGGACTGTAGAGCTGTGGGGAACCTCTGAACTTTTGAGACTTGGATGAGCGGGGGAGGTTTTTCAGAATGGGAACCAGAAAAGACTCCTTGTTTCAGCCCTCAGCTGTGGACTCCGGTGCCCAGCGTAACAATAGGCTCAGGCTGCCTCCCTCTATCTCTGCTCTTTTCCTTCAGTCATGCTTCGTTCCTCCAAGCCCCATCCTCCAAGTGAAGGGTAGTGGGTGGGGAGAGGTCACCTGCCAGAAAAATGTGGGGTAGCAAGGTCTGCCCCAGGACTCCAGGCTCCATCCCAGGTTCCAGGCCCCGCCCCTCAGTAGCTTATCCCTAGCCGGGGCTCCCCCCGTGGGAAAGGGGACCAGCTGGCCGGAAGCGCCAAACTGCATCTCTGTCCAAGCCCTGGGGATCAATCAGGCCGAGGAGTTAATTATGTAATGAGGGGGCAGGGGGTTGAGGCTTATGAAGCCTGGAGGGGAGGGAAGAAGGGGAGGGTACCCAGGTATCCGGCCCCCTCTTGGACCCCTTCCAGGCCCCAGGGGTCTCCACCCCAGCCCAACTCCAGGGCCCCAAAGAGGGAGGGGCTGTGATCCTGGGTCTGGAAGGGGCTGAGCTGTGAGCTATAAAGGGGGCATTTCTTAGCACCGAGGGACTCTAGGCAGTGTGACCTGAGGCCAGACAAGACTACTCCATGTACCATCCACAAGAGTTGTACCCCTCTCTGGGGACCAGCTACCGCCTTGGGCCCCCTCAGCCAGGGGCCGATTCCAGCTTCCCGCCTGCCCTAGCAGAAGGGTACTGCTACCCCGGTGAGCTTTGGGATGAGCTCTTGTGTAGGAATTGGGGGAGGGGGGTGCTGTGGCCTTGGGCTGCCTAGTCATTCTCCCCCTATCTCCAGATCTGAACAGTCCCAAACTGGATTGCTTCCTCTCCGGGATTGAGGCTACTCCCCACACTCTGGCCGCTCCCCCACCTCTGCCCCCTCTTCCCCCAGCCCTGGGCACTGAGCCGGCCCCTGCAGCCGCAGAGGCCCTTCATTCACTCCCTGGAGTCAGCCTGAGCCTGGAGAATCGGGAACTGTGGAAAGAGTTCAATTCCGTTGGAACAGAGATGATCATCACCAAAGCTGGGAGGTGAGGGGGCTGGGCAGGGTCAGAGGACTCAGCATGTTCCTGGTGGGGGTCTCTTGGAAAAGGCAGAGTTCCTGGTGATGGGGCTAGGATTGGGTGTTTCTAGAGGGGGGCTCTAGCTCTAAGTTCAGAATGTGATTGTGGCCTGGGTCAGGGGTTACACGGTGACTAGATCAGGGGTCATGCTGTGGCAAGGGTTGAGGGTCAGTATGTTGAGTCTGTGGCTGGGTCAGAAAGTCTGGAAGGATTATAGGTTAGTATGTGGCCTAGATCAAGGGGTCAGTCTGCAGGGGTTTAAACAATGACTATGGTCAAAGGCCAGACAGTGACCAGAATCAGAGAAATCTGGTTAGGATCAGAGTTAGGGTTTGTCAGTATGGGACTAGGTCCGGGGTCACCCTGGAGGCAGGGATATGGTCAGTGTATGGTCTTGTTGGGGGTCTTTATCTAGGCCAGGAGCTCAGGCCCTAGCATGGTGAGTCTTCTGCCCCACTGAAGGCAGAACATTTTTTTTGTCTGAAGCAAGTTTGTCCAGCAGCTGTAGATTCTGGTGCTGGAGATCAGGTGAGGAGACCAGGGTGGAGAGCAAGAAGGCTCCTGGCAAGATTTCCTGGAGAAAAGTGTGTCATCTGTGCTTCTGCAAATGGAGTTTGAAGGGCCAGGAGTTAGGAGTCCAAGCTCTGCTCCATCCTGCTGTGTGACCCTGATCAGATCTGTCCTGTTTCCTACCTGTAAAATGAGATAAAACAACCTTCCAGACCCTGACCTCAGTTCTACCTCCACCTTGAATGTTCTATAACAGAATTCCATGAGCTGGTGGCTCTGCTCCCTTGCCTGTTCTGTGCCCGCCTCTGGCCAGTGGGTAGCTCCAGGCCTCTCCCATCCTCTCTCCCATCCAGGCGCATGTTCCCTGCTTGCCGAGTATCAGTCACCGGTCTGGATCCCGAGGCCCGCTACCTGTTCCTTCTGGATGTGGTGCCAGTGGACGGAGCTCGCTACCGCTGGCAGGGCCAGCGCTGGGAGCCCAGTGGCAAGGCAGAGCCCCGCCTGCCTGACCGAGTCTACATTCACCCTGACTCTCCTGCCACTGGTGCTCACTGGATGCGGCAGCCTGTGTCTTTCCATCGTGTCAAGCTCACCAACAGCACACTGGACCCCCACGGCCACGTGAGGCCCAGGCTGGGACCCTAGAGTGGAGGCTGGGGGGTGGGGCCCAGGGCAGGGGGTCACGCCTGTTTCTTCCTTCCCAGCTAATCTTGCACTCCATGCACAAGTATCAGCCCCGAGTACACCTGGTGCAAGCCGCCCAGCTTTGCAGCCAACACTGGGGGGGTGTCGCCTCCTTCCGCTTTCCTGAGACCATGTTCATCTCCGTGACAGCCTACCAGAACCCACAGGTGAGTGCCCCTGCTTGAGGAGGTGGCAATACCCTATCCAGGCTACAGGAGCTTTGACTCTGGATGTGTGCCCCCAGATCACACAACTGAAGATTGCAGCCAACCCCTTTGCCAAAGGTTTCCGGGAGAATGGCAGAAACTGTAAGAGGTTGGTATCGTTCATTCATTTACTCGTTCATTCAACAAATGTTTATCAATCAACCAGTATGTGCCAGGCACTGTGCTTGACGCCAGGAACATAATGGTAAGTAAAAACTTTTATTCACTGATTCGACGAATGCTTATCTAGTATCTGTTATGTGCCAAGCACAGTTCTAGGCACTGGAGATACATCGGTAAACAGAATAAATTGATGTCCTGCCTTCATGGAACTGATACTCTGGTGGGCAGAGTAGACAACTAAATGAGAGAAATAATATACATTAGAAATAAATTCTAAAGATATAAGAAATAAATCAGGAAGGAAGATAGGAAAAACGAGTGAGTTACTTATTAGATAAGAGGCCTGGAAAGGCTTCACCGAGAAGGCACATTTGAGAAAAGACCTGAAGGAATTGTGGGAGGGAGCCATGTGAATATCTGGGAACAGCATGAGGTGGGAGCATACCTGTGGTGTGGCTGGAGTGGTGAGAGAGGTAATGGGGAGCCAGATTATGTTAGACACTAAAGGTTTGGTTAGGACTTTGGCTTCTATTCGGAATACAACCCCCTCAGGGCTGGCCCTTGCAAAGGAAACATACATTAATCAAAAGGTCACCCTAACAAATGTAACAGTGTAACTGTTGACCAATGTTATCAGGGAAGGCATGTGGTTCTGTGGGAGGTCAGAGTATATCCTTGAGGAAGTTATGCCTGGATGGAGACAAGAAGGATGAATTAGGCAGGTGAAAAGACGGAAGAGGGAGCTGGAAGGCAGCTCGTGGGGACGGTCAGAGCGAACAAGGTGGGATGAGCCCGGGAGCTTGGGAAGAAGTTTCCATTGATTCTAAATGCAATAGGAAATCATGAGAAAGTTTTAAGTGGGGAATAAATCCCAGCTCTGTTTTCTAGTCATTTAATTATCTGGCTTTCAGTTCCTCCATCTGTAAAATGGGTATAATAATGGCACCTACCTGATAGGGTCCCTGGGAGGGGGAATGCCTAGCACCTGGTAAGTGCTATCATCATCATCATCATCATCATCATCATCATCATCATCATCATCATATTCCCCAGGGAGCGAGATGCCCGTGTGAAGAGGAAACTGCGGGGCCCAGAGCCAGTAGCCACAGAAGCCTATGGGAGTGGAGGTGAGTGTAGTCCTATTGGTAATGCAGCCAAGCCTGAGATGCTGATTCTCCTCAGCCCGACCTATCTCTTCTGCCTCCCCAGATGCACCAGGTGGTCCCTGTGATTCCACATTGGGTGGGGACATTCGTGAGTCAGAGCCAGAGCAGGCCCCAGAACCCCAGGAAGCTGCTCCTGCCCCAGCTCCTCCATGTGGTGGCCCCAGTGCTGAGGCCTACCTTCTGCACCCTGCAGCTTTCCATGGGGCCCCCAGTCACCTTCCAACAAGGTAAGCGGGACAAGGGCACAGACCTGGGCTCTTCTAGGCTGGAGTCCCTCTCCCTTTTCTGACACCTTTCTCCACTTCAGGAACCCCAGCTTCCCTGAGGCTCCAGACTCTGGACGCTCAGCCCCCTACTCAGCCGCATTCCTGGACCTGCATTCTGGCCCAGGAGGCTCAGGATACCCAGCAGCGGTGCCTCCAGCACCCTTTGCCTCGCACTTCCTCCAAGGGGGCCCCTTCTCCCTGTCCTACCCTGGGCCTGGGGCCTGCCTGGATGTGGGCTCTAAACCAATGTTCTGAGCCATTGTTGGACCCTCTGCTTCCCTGTCCTCCACCACAAATTTCCACTTCCCTTCCCCCAGGCCTGTACCCCTTACTTCCACTGGCCCCATCCCCCACACCAAATGGCTGCGTTGGGCCTCCCCTACCCCACTTCACACTTTGATTTCACTCCCACCCCGCTCTGGCTTCAAAGCTCAGGCTAAGCTGCTGGGAGTCCAGATGGGGCCAGCTTCCCCTTCCCGCCTCGCCTCTCGAATCTCACCTCTGTGTGAATGGAGGGAGGCTCTACCTGGCCAAATGGGGCCTCAGAACAGCACTGGCAACTCCTAGGCCTCATCCTTGGGCTCAGCCAATCAAACCCCTTACCCCAGTGAGAGCCACACCAGTTTGTTCTCAGGACCAGAGTATTTTTGTTAATAAAATTCAAAAGACATCAGTGCTCTGGAAACATTGGGCTAATGGTGTTTGATCCTGGGAGGGGGCTGGATGAGCAAAGGTTTTGTGGGGAGACCCTGGCCAAATCTAGACTTGTCATTTCTATCTGCTTGACGCTGTGCATGTAAACCCACCTGCTCTGGGCCTGTCTTCAGGAAAATGGGGAATCAATGACCTGACAGGCATTGTTTTGAGAATTAAATAGAGCCACTTCTAAGAACCCAGCCCTCCACTTAGCACTCAAAGCCCTCAAGAGCAGTCACTGTCAGTGAATGGGGACCAGGACTCTGGGCAAGTTGACTGGCTTGAGCCTCATCTTCCTGAAGAGATTAGGCTTCTGGGGCAGTCAAAGCCCTGATGTCCATGCCAGGACCCAGGCCAGCATCGCTGCTCATTCCCAAATATGACACAAACCCAAATACCATTTTTCTTCTTTTATTAGAATTTTTTTCTTTTTCTCAAAATTTTTATCTAAAAACAAACAAAAAAAGGAAAAAAAAAACCAAAAAAATTCTTGGAAACTTCATGGTTCAAGTGGGGAGAAGGGAGAGGAGGAGCATGGAGCTGAGGCTCTGAGCCTCTCCAGAGAAAGTCCTCACCCTCAAAGTGCCCTCTTTGTGGGGAGAGCAGAGCCGGGGACAGCCCCCCAATGCCCAGCCTCTGTCTGAAGAGGGCAGTCACAGTGGTCCAAGGGCCAGAGGGGCTGGAGGGGGACAGGGGCCAAAGGGGTCACAGGAAGTAGTCAGCCACGGGCTTCTTGGAGGGGATGCCCCGTGTCTCTTGAGGAGCGGCCTCGAAGATGATAAAATCTTTCTGGAGATGCTCATCTAGCTCCAAGATGGCTGCCACGTTCCCACAGCTGGAAGTCGGAGGGCGGCAGTTAGAGTGTATCAGCCTAGATCCCCACCCCCTCCTGGCCCAGGCAGCTCACCGGTAGCAGTAGTTGGGTGCTGACCACACAGTGAGCACAGTCTCATTGAAGTGCCACTTGTAACCTTCCATCACCAGTTGGTGGGCACGACAGATCATGTCAATGTCGTTGGCTGCATTGAACTGGGCCACCACATCACTGCCAAATAGGTAGCCAGCTCCACGGGGGCTCACGCCCCAGCCTGTTGTGTCTGAGGCAAATGAAGGTACAGATGGGGAGAGGGTGTCTTCAAGGCCTTCTCTGGTTGCCCACTGCCCTTTGAAGGAAAATATCCTGTTTCCCTCCCCCATTTGGGCCTGTGGGGCAAGAGCACAAGGTTCGAATGTGTTCTGGGGGTCTTGGGGGACAGGACAACAAATGTTGAAGCAGATAAGCTCCGAAGGCAGACATTCCTGATGCAGGTACACACGAGAGTGAAAGGAGATGCTTGTAAGAACCACACTGGTACAGCACGTGTGAACAAGGGCTGCTCTGGGAATGGTAACAGGGCAGTCAAGTGTGGCAGACAGCGCGAGCCCTGGAGTGATGCCTGGGAGACTTGGCTTTCAATCTCAGCTCTGTTCCCCATTAGCTGGGGAACCCCACAAAATGAGGGGTTCTCAAAGGTCTGTCATTCCAAGCATATGACCTCTGCAGAAGCCCCTTCACAGCGAGGAAGCCAATGATTTTGTCCTTAACATCTCTGATATACAGGCCCCAATTCCCTCTCTGGGCTCAAAGCACCAGCTACCCATGCTCCCGATCAACAGTGCCAGCTGTCCGAAGGTCAAGCATAGACTTGAGTGGAAACCAGCCTGCTCTGCTCAAGGTACTCGCTTTAACCGAAGGAACCCCCTCGGTCTCTTGCCAAGCTAAGGGTAAAGCCCAGCTGCCCCTGCCCCACCTGTCTGCCCTCACCTTCAGGGTCAGACCAGAGCAGGTCACACATGGGCCCGTCGTGAGGCACCTCTTGCTTTCGGTCAATTGTCCGGATCTGGTCCAGGGTCTGGATGGAAGGGGAGAGGCCCCCGTGCACGCAGAAGATCTACAGCGGGGGAGCAAGATAGGAGGGAAGGGAGGCTCAGGCCCAGTCTCTCCCCCATCCCTCTCATCCCTATGGAGCCCTGCGGCCAGCCTACCTTGCCATCAATGATAGCTGACAGGCTGAGGTAGTCAAAGATCTCAGTGCAGTAGCGCCACACGGTCACTGAGCCATATTTGCGCAGGCACTCATCATAGAAGCCGTAGACCTGGGTGATCTGACGGCTCTCATGGTTGCCCCGTATCAGGGTGATTCGGTCAGGATAGCGAACCTGGAGGTAAGCACCAAGGCACGGCTGGAGTCTAGGCTCTCTCTCTCCCTCCTTGATCTCCTCACATCTGCCAGTCCCACTCCATCCTCATCACCACCACCCTGGCCCGGATTCATGTCATCTCTCACCTGAACAATGTTGCGCTCACCTCATAGGCTCCCAGTCCCTCCTCCAGAGGATACAAAGCTGGCCCCTCCCCCATCTCATCAACTACAAACCTAATGGCTCCTCTTTCACCCACCAGGTAGAGACCGAGTCCTTGGCAAGATATTAAAGGCACTTTGTCATCTGGCCCTTTACCACCTGTCTCCAACCAGTGGATGCTGTATCCAACTGAACTCAACTCTCACCACTTTCTGAACGTAGTACGCCTCTGCTCCCCACTCTATGACGCCACCCCTCTGACCTCATCCTCTAGGGACCCAACCAGATGCCCCCGAGTCAAAGAAAGCTTCTCTGACCACCGCTGCCAAACAGAATCTGTCAGCACCAGCAGCACAGCTCAGAGTTGGGGGTGGACAGAGCAGGAGAGGAGGGTGGAAAGGATGCAGACAGGTAAGGCCTGAGGTAGCCCGGGTTTGGGCTCCAAAAGCCAGCAGTTCCCACCTTAAGTGCCAGCAGCAGGAGGAACGTTTCAACGCTGTAGAAACCACGATCCACAAAGTCCCCCATGAAGAGGTAGTTGGTCTCAGGGACGTCGCCACCCACCTGGGGGGAGAAACTTCTGCTTGGTCCTAAACTGTTCCCTACCCACTGTGGTGGCCCATTTCCAGTCAAGTTGAAGCCCTTCTTTCACAAAAGGCCCATCAAACACCTAACTAGAGGCCTTATGCCCCTACTCCACTCACCATATTCAAAGCTTTCTCTCTCAAAAGGGTCTTCCAGTCACCCCCCTGGTCACCTTCCCCAATGTTTACCCACACTCACTCTGAACAGCTCCTTGAGGTCATAGAATTGTCCATGGATGTCACCGCATACCTGGGAAGTGAGAAGGTGGGTGGGAACTCACAGTCCAAAAGCCTTCGCTCCTAGGGGCTATCTTCAAATCACCCACCGTTTCAGTAGATCCCTATCACTTTTGTCTAAGCCTCTATTTCTCAAAATCTCTCCCACCCCAAGTTAGCATGGTCTGGAATTGATCTCCATCCCACACTGAGTGCCAACTGTTCTGTGGGCAAGGGCCAGAGCCAGGTCTTTCCAGCCAGACCTACAGCTCCTGGAAGACCTGACCCCTTCCTCGCCTTACTCCCTTCAGTAAAGTAACTAATAATACAGAACACGTAGAAACATGTGGAATAGAATCACTCACCAAATTAAGAGTCCTTCTGCCCTGGCCAAGAATATTCCTCCAAAAAATTAAGAGACCCTCCCTATAACACCTATTTCTTATAGTGAGATTCCCAAGGATAACGGGTAGATCTCTGGAGCCCACAAGACTATGAGGAATGTTCATGTGCCTGAAAGATCAAGCTAGGCTCTGGAAGGACAGAGGGTACTCACTGTGACTGGCGAGTCCACCCTCTGCACGTTGCTCTCTTCTACCAAGATCTCTCTAGAGACAGAAGACCAGGGTCACCACAGCCAGGCCAGCCCAGCCCAATTCCTGACCTTTTTTCAGGGGAGGGGAGGGGAGGATATGAGGTGGCCCTTGAACCTCTAGGGGGCAGGAGCAAGGCGTGCAATTTCCCCAGGATAAGCTGACCACTGCTTAACACCCCTCTGTAGCTCCCTGCTGCCAAAAGGCCAAAACCTAAGCTTTTGTTCCAGCTTTCAAAGCCTTTCCAAGTAGGCGGTTACTTTCCCAGCCTTGACCCTCTCCGCTGCTCTTGCACACATCCAGCACTCCCAGGAAATATCTTGCACTCAGAGCCCTCTACTCCTGCTGTGTCCTAAGCCTTAGACGGTGCCCTTGGCTGAGCTCTTACAGTCTCTCTCTACCCATCACAGGAGTCTTTGAGTGTTTCTCTCAGGCTGTCCAAAGGTACAGGGGGGTGCCCTAGGGAGGCTGGTCATCAATGTAATCTTCAAAGTGATACACTGTTGCTACTTTTTCATTATTTAGTTAGAGGAAGTGAGAACTTGGTTCTTTCATCTTTCCTTGCACTGCAGCCTACTTCTACTTGAATAAGCATGACATAAAACTACTGTCAGGTATAGACAACCAATTAAGTAGTATTCTATTTCCAGATCCTTTGCAGCAGTGAACATTCTATGTTCCAGGGCTGCTGGAACACGTTCCTGACACCATGTGCCAGGGTTGTAGGCTCTGCAAGAATGACGCATGCAATCAAATCACCACCTTCAAAGGCAGGCACTGTGATGATTCCTACTGCTCAGATGAAAAAAATGGCCTCAGTCATACAGATGAGACTTGAACCAAGGCCTTCTGGCTCCAGGATTTGGCTTTTATAAGCTACTCTGATTTGGCCCAGGTACCTGCTTAGCCCTCAGTCTTCTGCGTCTCCTTACTCTTCTCCCACTAGACTAGGGCTCTGTGAGCTCATGGTTTTCTATAGGTCCCTCACGGTACTCTGCATGACAAAGGAAGCTCCAGGGGCCATGCAGCAACCAGGCTCTCCCACCTATCTTGTGTTGAACATCCCTCCACATCAACTGCTTACAGTGAACTTTCCAACTGAGTTGAGAAGGTTCTTCTCATCTGACAGATAAAGAAACCGAGACTCAGAGAAAAAAGCAGCAGGATCAAGGTCACAAAGCTGGAGAGTGTCTGAATTCGAACCCAGGAGCCCAACTTCCTGAGAATTTAAGCCAGCCCCTTCCAGACTCTGGGTGAAAACCCCACCTCAGTGTTAACAGGGCCCCAGCATGGTCCCGCCCCAGCTCTGTCACTTGCTGCACATCACCAGCGCCCTCAGGGCTTGCGCTTGCTCACCTTTACTTCCGCAACTAACACTGCCTTTACCAAGTGCTTATCAAAGTACCAAGGCCTGCCCTAGGATGTGTGGAATCTCATTTGAGCTCCATAGTGATTTCAAAGACTTGAAGAAGTAAAGTAACTTGACCAGGGTCATATTGTTTATATGTGACAAAGCTAGGGTTCACCTTGAAGACCACCTGATTCAAAACCCTCTGCTCTTTGAACATGCTAACTTTTCAATAGGAGCAAGTTCAGCTCACACCTTCAGGCCTCTGTAGTTCAAAGAGTTTGAGTCTATATACCCTCTGAGCAAGCCAAAGCTCCTGACACTACCAGCCTTGGCCTGGGCCCCTGGTGAGTGGCTAGGTGCTAGAGTTGGCCCTTCTTCAGTATGGGCCTGGGATGACAGTGGCCAACTCAGGCCTCAGTCTAGGACCTCCTAAATCTATCTCACTTTCAACTTGGCAGGATCCTCCTACCCCTCAGTCCTCCGTAGCTCCCTGCTGCCTCTCACACAGTTTTAATGTCTCTGCCTGGCTGTCCATGAGCATGGAGTATAGAAAAAGACCTGGAGCCAAAACTAACCTCCCCTCTAACTAATGTGAGACCATGGGCAAGACATTCTCCTGGAAACTCCACCATGCTATCTAAGCATTAGCTATCACCACCACCAAATTGGTCCAGGACCTATGGGGGGACTTTTATCATGACATAAAGAATAGAGCCAGACAGCAATTCGTTTAAGTCTCTAAGAATGTCAGTCAAGACTGAGAAAGCAGGCAAAACATGTGAGAGCCATAGACAAGCATTTTAAAAGCTTTGCCTATTCTCCAAACCTCTGTAGGCTTTGTCTGGCTGCTATGGGTCTGTCTGTGTGGGGCCAAGCAAATAACCTGATGGCCACAAGTTCAGAGCCCAGTTCTGCCACTTTCTCTCTGGGTGACCTGTCAAGTCACTAGGCCTCTAGGAGTCATGGCTTCCTGTTATGTAAAACGGAGCAAACAATTCCAACCTCACAAGATTACTGTAGGGAGGAAATGGATATAAATTCTTTGCCAGTACAAGGCCAGACTAGCTGCGTTGTTCAATAAATATAGGGTAGTTCTGCTGGCTTTTCTCCCACAAGTTCTCCAGCTTGGTGGAAGCCACAGTCAAACAGCCCCTCAAAAGAGGCAGGTAACTGGTATCCTCACTGTTGTCCACACATCTCAGGGCTTTCACCTACTCTCATCCTGCTTGGAATGCATTGCTCACTGGCACTGCTCTCATCACCTATCCAAATTATTTTCATCTTTGAAGGCTACCTTCTCTTAGAAGCCTTCTCTGATGACAGCACTGCCCTCTTCTTACACAGTAATAACATGTAAGGAGTGTCAAGGTCTTATACGGTACCAAAAAACTATGCTGAGCTCATCCCAAGCACCAACTTACTGACTCTCCACAACCATCTTATTAAGTACTATTATTCCTACTTTTTGGTAAAGAAACAGTTTCTGAGACCTCAAGATCACCAATACAGCTAGTAAGTGGCAGATTCTAACCTACAGCCATCGCATTCCAAAGTCTGGCCTCTTTACCACTACATCATCCTACTTCCCACAGAACTCTTGAGTTGGGCCTCTCTTCATATCATGCTTATTTGCTACCATTTCTGAGGCTCCCACACTGAATATGAGTGATTCAAATCCACCTTCTTGCATTATGGCCTGAAAAGGGACAGGACACGGAGAACTGGCTTCAGACTGCATTCCTTGCTGGTTGACTCTGAACATGAGAGTCCTCACCCATAAAATGGGGACAATACCACCCACTTTAAGGGATGGTCTTGGAATTAAAAGAATTTCATAAACCACAGAATCTTTAGCTTTTCTGACTCGAACTTCTGTTCTTGCTGACACTCCCTTTCATCATCTTATTCTTCAAGGCCTACTCCCAAAGTTCAGTTCCTCCAAGAAGCCTTCTCTGTACCCCCAACAGATTGGGTTGTTTCCCTGAGCTTCCTAAGTACTTCCTATAACTAACTCCACTGAAAACACATCACCTAATACTTTAAGTATTTTTATCCAGGTCTGCCTTCCCCCAACAGTCTGGTTGCTCCTCGAGAGAAGTGGTCCTATTCTGTTCTTTCCCTGGAAAAGTTTCTAGGATGAACCAGGCCCAAAGTTCTCAGTTGGGTATGCCCCAGGCCGGAACTACTGGACAGCGGCGGGGCTTCCCTTCCCCGGGGCCAGCGGGCTCACCTGGCCTTAGCGCACAGGGCCTTAACCTCGCTCTCCTTGATGAGCTCGCAGCGCCGCAGCTGCTCGATCTGCCGGTCCAGGTCGCTGATTTCCGCCATGGCCCACCCCCCCGGCGCGGGTCAGAGCCAGGGCCACCGCCCCCTCCGCACCGCACAGGGGTCTCCTGGGAAAGGCCAAGACAAGGCCGAATCAGTGTCCGTAGGGGGTGCCGGGGGGTGGGCAACTCCATTCTGGAGCTGGCTCGCCACCCCCACCTCCCCTCACATCGTCCCACAGCCCTGACCGCCTCCTGATAACTCCCGTCGAATCCCGCGGTACCGCACTAGGGACACTGGCCAAGAGGCACCCCTGACTATTACCGCTGCTGCGACTTTGGCTCGGGCTTTCAGGGTCCCTGCCGTCCTCT